GTATTTGTTTTCCTCGCACAATAAATGGAGCGGCTCAATTTTTTCAGCGGGATATTTTACGGTCCCTTATGCTTAACGGTATCTGCGTTTTTGTTAGGACTTAAATATGAATGTGGGCTGCACATGGTTATGTAATCCAACCTAAATGTAGCCTGTGTACGAGAAGCAATTTCAGGAGTGGGCTTTGGCAGATGGTTGGTTTTCTTCTGAATTGCTCATACACCTCTTGGGAACTGGAATGTCCTCATTCTTCATTCTTCCTCAGTTCACCTTGAAAGGCAGACGTCTGAAGGCAGATAGCTGCTGTCAAACTAACCTCTTTCTTCTCCTTTTTGAGTCTTCTGTTTGGTGGAGCTGGGCTGGGGGTAGCCAGGATGCCCTCCTCGATTTATACCTATTTTGGCCACTGTCAGAGTCCTGTCAGCCTAACTCTGTTGACAGCACTCTCGTCTCTTGAGTCAGAAAGTTGTGGGTTTGAAGACCCATGTCGGGACTTTAAACTCACAGTCTAGGCTGGAGGTACCATCTTTCGGATGAGAAGTTTAACCGTGATTCTGCTTTGAGACATCCTTCCGATGAGAGCAAAACACAGATGGTACTCATAAAGCTCCGATGATCCCATTTCACTGCTGGAGGATGAGTGATGGTAAACAGCCCATAAAAGAAAGAAATGGAAAGCATAGGAGAGAGAAAGGGAGTGAAAGAGAGGAAGACTATTACATTGCATAACATTTTGAATGAAACGAGGTTCTGTAACTGCTGGGATGTAACTGATGGGTGGTTAGTTTGAATATTTTGTAACAGATGGACAGATTGTTGGAGAATTCAGAACTACTGAAGAATGCCATTTATCTCCATGTCCATTTATCCGGATCTACATCCACCTTTAATGCATACAGTGGACACAGAGCTAAGTGAGTGAGGTTGCTAGCAATGAGATTTAGTCATTCTTGTACATCCACACTACCAGTATATTTTGTTCCTGTGGCGTGAAGGTAAGTCACGTAAAGGTAAGTCTTTATACGTTTGTACAGTGTAGGATTAGGATCAGAAAGAGATAGAAGGTTAGAGAGTCTCAGAGAGAGAGAAAGGCAAAGTGAGAGTGAGAAGAAGACTGAGTGAAACAGAATGACTGAAAAAAGTGTGAGAGAGGGATATGTATGGTACTACAGTCACAATATAAACTCCTGATGTTGCAATTTTTTAATTCACATTGTAGCCAGTTTGCATTTTGCGTGATATCCAATTATCTACACTGTTTGCTTATCCACAATGTGGACAGTTCCAATTAGTGTAGAAAATCCGCTATGTCCTCTACGATGATAGATTGTAGGCTGTTGTTGATTTTGATTAATGTTGGCATCTCTTGGCTTTATGTGTTTTCTTTGCACGCACATGTATAAATAGCAAAAAAATGTAAAATCTAATAATCACTATAGTTAATGACAAACTAGTGGGACTTCGATCCTTATTAACGGCCATAACCTAAATATATGAAAAAATATCCTGCGTCTGGAATGGAATGCACATTCTCTCCCTGGAGGGATGCACGCTGCTTAATTAAGTTCGGCGAGTATTAGTAAGAGCCAAGGCTTGGGGACCCCAAACTGCGTGTAGGGAATTGCTGGAATTTAACCAGGTAAAACTGCATAGCTCGCCATTGAGAGTACAGTCTGGCAAACGTCCCACTGCTTGTCAGCGATGACCACCTTACCAGTCAGAGCTTTGGCTTGTAGGGTTAACAGGAGCCGAGTGGAAAGAATCTCTGCTCCCATTATGAAAATGTAATGATGGTCCAAGTGGGATGCTGGCTTGGAGGAATCTGGGGTGGAGACATATGAAGCTGAATTGAGGCCCTCAGATAAAGTGTAAAAATGGCTAAAATACCCTGGTGTGTTGATGTTCCATTTTCCAGCACTGACATCTCATCTCACCGTGATCAACACATTTCTGGCAGCCAAAAAATAGCATTTTTTTTTAACCAGTAATAGCATCAAATGTGTTAAATATCTATATAGGCAACTTGTGCCATTTCCAAAATCTCATGAAGTTGAGCAATTGTTTTTCTGCGTAAGAATTCTTTGGTCACAATTCCCCACCGGAGAATTTTATTCCCTTTTGCTGCTAATTGATGTGATGACAAAGGTTTGCTTTTTTTCATCGAGAGCGACCTCATTTTCTACAATGCTTTCATTAACTAGTACAACAAAGAAGATGGGGATATAACAACTGTATGGTCAAGCATTCTATAGTAACAGCCTATCTGCCCCACTCTTTGGAATTCCATCCTGAAGTCCCTTCACCACACCCTTTCTCTCGCCTCCTTGAAAGTCCGTCTCAAGACATTCCTCTGTGACCATGCCTTCGGTTATCTTCCCATCTTCACTCTCCTTGACCTCCAACCCCTACCAAATCCAACCTCCAGCTTTGAATGCAAATCCTCAATTGTCTAGCCCTTGGGATGTCCTCCTGACATGAAAAGCATTATATAAATGCAATTTGTTGTTGTTTTAGACCACAGTATCAATAAAACACCCAGTTGCAGAGAAATTTTAGCTATATCACCTCCCAAGGACATTTAGGAATTCCCAATGCTTTCAGCCAGGGAATTGTCTCACTGTTTTGTGGCCTGGCTTTTGTAGGGCAAAGGTTAGTGAATTCTGCTGAAGTCAGTTGGAGTTTTGTCTGGCAATGATGTGGTTCAGTAGTGCAGTACTGTATTTGCTGCTGTGACTAACCAGAAGATAGAGACGCTGTTCAGTGAGCTCCGCAAGTATACTGCAAAATGATACGGCCAAGTTATTGTCCTCAAATGATCTGAAAACAAACCGCAATTGTTCTGAATTGCACAAAGACAGCAATTTTTAACAAACAAATATTCAAAGTCCTCTTGCAACTCACTCAATACTGGAAAGGACAGTAATATTATAGGCAATTATTTTAGAGATGTAACATTTGCATGATGGTTTTTTTGTAAACGCCGTTTTCTCACCCCAGCTTTGCATGTTTTTAGTGCTTGAAAATAAATTAGTTCCTTTGGTTAAAATCAAACCAGTTTTTTGTATGTTGTCTCAGAGCTCAAATCTACAGTAATGCAATTCTACTAGCCCTGCAACTTTTTTTGTGGGAGTCTCTTAAACATGCACAGACAGGCATCACTGTCAATCCAAATTTGCAAATGTGGAATCTGAATGTGAGTTTCCAAAATCATCATGTCTCAAAGTGAGAATAAATGTGATGGTTATTTGGCCTTATCTAACCTGTTCCAAGATATTAGGTGAGTTTAGTTTGCTAAATGCCACCCCTGTGCATATTGGTGCTATAGTACTATAGTGCCACACAGAAATATAAATATATATGAGTGCTAATTCAAGGATGCCATTGTACAGTAATATGCTGTTACCTTGCTTCTAGAATTCCAGCTGACGTGTCTCACAAAACAGGCTGCTAGGGTAAGCAGTTCATTTTGATGTTATAAATAATGTAGCTAGAAACTATTAAAGATATATTAACTGTAGCTACAAACCGGTGTTGTGTATTTGGCTTCTCCATTTGCAGTCGTTATTCTCAGGCCATTTCTCTCTCTCTCTCTCTCTCTTCCACTCCCTCTTCCCTCTGATAATTAGTTGGTAGCAGAATCAATCTGATGACAATTCTGTCCAGCATTTCCCATTCCGACTTCTTAACTGAACGTAATAAATTGAACGCTTCCATTAGTTTTCACTCTCAAAGTGTAGTTTTTGCTTCTCTTACTAACACACAGATCCCCAGGTTGGAGTGCTGCTGCAGTCGTTGCTGTGGATAAACCAGCTTGTGTCACCTGAACACAGGTCCTGCAGACACACTCTGTACTCCCAGGAGCTCTACAGACACCACAAAAATCAACTGGACAACACAGCAACAAAAAAAAGGCTCAAGGCCTTTTTTCCGAATGTAATATTTTGACACTTGCTGCAGGATACTTTATCTCCTGCAAAGAAAATAATTGTTTTTAACTTGGACAGGAAACCAAAATAAACAGCCTGATCCCTGGGCTTTGATGAAGTGCTGCTACATGGAGATTACCTGCAAGGCTTGGCTTTTATCTGAGGTGTAGCACAGTGTAAAGTTTGGGAGAGGGAGAGCAGCAGTTACAGTTTCTTTACCTACTCGGATGACCTTTGAATAGCAAGCGACAAACTTCTTATTTAAATTTGTTTAAAATTTCAGCTTGTGTAAATGTTGCCACCCACGGGCACAAACATTTGCATTCATATGTTTTTAGCACGCAAACTCGGTGCAAAAATAGGGCGAAGTTAGGAACTATGTCAGAATCGGCTACCCAACCAACAGCAAATTTCAGTCAGATTATTGGGCAAGCATCAGCACCCTCTACCTCATCCTTACCCCATACAGATCATGCTCAGGTGCCATTGCCCCATTAAAATGGTGTGAGTTGTATAGTGAAGTGCCTGTCCTTCTATAAAACCTTTCATAGATTAATAGGTATAACTGAAAACTGCATTTTGGACACTTGATATGGTTGCAAGAATCAGTAATTTTTTTCAGAGTTGGGGATTGAAGGTGCTTCTGGATATGTGGGATAATGTGCAATGAATTATTTTATATTAGATCTTGAAACTATGGAAGAAAAAATCAGTGCATTGATTTTTTTTGAGTAGTCCAGTCCCATTATTTATATAGCAGTGGAATCTGTGCTTAACAGTTTCCAAATTATTCCATCAAATATTCCTTTGTTACACTGTCAGAGGAAGCCAAACATTTCACCCAACTGGAGTGCAGAGAAAAGCAGATAATTTCACACATGGGTCACTAGAAAGATGATGTTTTTGAAAAATGTTCCAGTTTGTTTCAGTTGCAGAATGACACGCTATAAAGGGAGGGATGACTTTTAATTGGGTATCACTGAGCTCAGTATTAATGATAAAATACAGTCACCAGAAATAAATACCTTCGTTAATCTGATGTCACATAATCTGTTATTCTTTCTTTTTTTAAAGTATTATTGGTGCTGTGCGTACTGGAGCATACATGGTATATATCCTGACTACAAGAGGCCTGAAACAATCGGTGTGCGACCAAAGTTTCTACAATGGACCAATCAGCAAATTCTGGGCGTATGCATTTGTGTTAAGCAAAGCACCCGAGTTAGGTGAGTGTGGAAGACAGGTTTATGCTACGTGCAGAATTTGGGGGCAAAATCATGATTTTTTTCTTTATTGTAAAGTGGTATCAAGGAAACAGTGTAGAATAAGTCAAAACTTGGAGTCCCATAGCGTAGTGGTTAGTACACTCACCTCTCAGGTTAGACAACCACACTCCTCTGTTTACCCAGCATTAAGTAGGAACACGGTTGGTAGTTGATCGGCAAATTGCTTTCTGGGGTAATGATCGCTTAAAAAAAAAAATGTGGTCACTCATTCCACAACTATTTATGAGACACTTGACTGCTGCGTTCCACCCACAAAATACACAGTCAATTCGCTTTACAATATAGTCTGTGAAGTGCTTTGAGATGTATCAACGACATGTTATATCAAATGCAAGAATTATTATACCTTTTTTTTTGCGTCTCTGTGTATCAAAGAGCTTCCTGGGGACATCATAGACTGGGGTTTTGTTTTAAAAAAGAAGTATCTAACATGGCTTGTTCTGAACATTGGGGGAGCCTTCACACAACATGCTGATCAAGGCTGCAATGACGTCTGATCTCCAGCTGTTCAAAGTATGTACAACTAGTACTGTCTGGTCTTGTTTGGCCTCAGTACAATCGACATTGTCCTTCCAAACTTAGAACCACCTACCTGCTTCACTCCCTGTGGTTCTCTAAAGGCTCCTTGTTTAGCTTTTGATACTGCAGTATTCCAGCTGTTCAAAGGCAGAAGCTCTCATTTTAGTTTCTGATGCAAGCTGTCTTTATATCTACTTGGATTTATTCATTAAATGACCTTGCCAAAACATTATACTCAATCGAAGGCTGTAGTTAAACATTTCATTCTTTGATTTAATCTGATAGTGAATCATAGTTATTGTGTTGATAATATCTGTGTCCCAAGTTCACTACGACCAAGTGTGGTGGACTTGTGGTAAAAAAGAGAGGGAGTCCACACACTGTTCCAAACACGATAACATTTCTATGTGGCATTCATTCCAGGTGGCGCATTCATTCGGTCATGATCCAATGGAATTGCGGAACAGGCTTGAGGGTCTGAATGGCCTGCTGCTGTTCCTTTTTTCCTACGTGTGAAACTCTCAATATAGTTTGGATACTCCTAAGCATGTTGATTAGTTTCTGGGTGTATCTGACATGTGTAGAACACACAGCTACTCCATGTTAAAATGCAATTGAGGTTTATAAGCAGAGGGTGAGAGGGATGAGCTGTGAACAATGACTATACAAGCTAACGCTCTTCAGTCTTGAGAGAAGGTGATTTTGATGGAACCTCATAAAGATGTAAAAATGTTTAAATGGGATTGGCAAATGTTAATATGGGGCAGAACTATGGAAAATTCCCAAATTGAATCTTAGTATGGAAGCTGATGTGCTGCAATTCTTATGATGATCAGATTAAGAGGCGAGCCAGCCCGTATGAAGCACTTTGAGATGTCCTCCTGAAATGAAAGGATTGTTATTTTAAGTTATTTTATTAATAATAGTTCAACTTCTCGCTGAGACATGGAATTACAAAAAGAGACCGAGACTCCTGGTATAAAAGAAAAGTGTTTGTAAAAATGAGTTTTCTGTTTGCCTCTTCTTCCAGGAGACACAATGTTCATTATACTGCGGAAGCAGAAGCTCATCTTCCTGCACTGGTACCACCACATCACGGTGCTGCTGTACTCCTGGTACTCCTACAAAGACATGGTGGCCGGAGGAGGGTGGTTCATGACGATGAACTACGGCGTCCATGCCGTCATGTACTCCTATTATGCTTTGCGGGCGGCTGGCTTCAGAGTCTCGCGCAAGTTTGCCATGCTCATCACCATGACCCAGATCACACAGATGCTGATGGGCTGCGTTGTTAACTATTTGGTGTACGAGTGGATGCAGCTAGGCCAGTGTCCATCCCACATGCACAACATCGTCTGGTCCTCCCTCATGTACCTCAGCTACTTTGTGCTCTTCTGCCAGTTCTTTTACGAGGCCTATTTGAGCAACAGCAGGAAAGCACTGAAGGTCGCCTAGATCCGGCTGGTTGGAGGCCACTGCTCAGGGGCATCAGTCATATGGCACAATGACATGTTTTGAGTGCTTCAAAAAAAAAATGGCAGCCTGTATCCATTAGCTTGGTTTAATCCATTGAGCTCATGATGCCTCCGGGTGAGACCACCCTTGGCAGATTCAAATCCAGTTTAAAAAGTAAAGAAGACATTCCTTGTAAAGGTGGTCATAAGTGTGAGATGACGTATCTGGGCTATGGTGTTGAGACGCAACATAAGTATTTTTTGATCAAAGCATTTAAAAAAAACTGGGTTAAGTGAGGTATGCAAAAGAGCTTAAAGGGTTAAGCCAATTAGTATTAAATCAGAAGGTCTTCTGAGGGGCAGCTAGAAGAACCAAAAGTTTTAAGGAAAAAAAGGATTAATGATTTTAAGAAGTTAAATTTTTTAATGTTAATCTGAGTCAGTTAGAAAGTGTTACGGTAAAATTACATCAACAATAAATGGATCTGCATTGATGAAATGGATAGCAGTTTCCTGACCCATGGTTTGTCCCCGATCATAATTTGTGTAATAACAGCCCAGCCTGCCTTTAGAGAGATCCCACAACTGATTTTTATTTACTCTGTATGTAAGTAATGCAGGAGAACATTTGCATATATAACTTACGGTCTTGTGAGCATCGCCGTTTGAATTAAAGCTGCTTTGCCTGATAATGATGGGGGATTTAACCAAAGAAAATTGCATTTTAAAATTGTCGAAAAGAAACAAAATCCTCTGCCGTTTTGCAATTCATTTTTCACTTAATTCACTCCTGTTCCTTACAGCACTGTGATCCACATGAGGATTTGCTGTCAGTTTGGGCCAAAATGTGCACTTCCACCTTTATTGATCACTGTGATAAATTTTAAGGCTTTTGCTGCCTCCCTTTTCCAGAGCTGTGGTCTCTCTGCATTGACTTACTGTTCATGGCCATTCAAATAAAACAGCTCATATATCTTGATTCTTCACCCAAGAATGTGCATCCCCTCATTCTATTGTTTCCTTGCTTGCAAGGATATATTTGCCACGGTTTCTGAAACACTTCTTTTAAATGTTTCGCTAGATTTTCTCTTATCTGTCTTAACATTCCTAAAATGAAAGTTGTGGGCTAACTTCCAGTACTGTAACAACCAGCAGCTGCTTTACATAGTTGAAAAGAAAGATTTTTAACACAATTAATAATGGGATGAGCATATGTGCAGGGAACAGGACTGCGCTTCCACCAAATTCTTTATATAAAACAAGCTGCGGGATTCTTTTACAAATATTTTTACTTATATTTTTTGATATTGTGATCTTATTGATAAATGATTCAGTGTAAATAAATTTGGGGGCAAAGCAGCTTTAAGATTGATTTTTATTTCAACCTTAACACTTTTAACCACATTCAAATTGAGAAGGCAACTTTGCAGCTTAAGCCAATTCAGCTTGTATCGTGACAGCATTTCAGGTGAGAACACTTGGATTTAACCCACCTCAGTCTTTAGGAATTCGAAGGAGGCTGTTTAAGCAAAGAGCCAAAGTAATACAACCTGCTGAGTGGAGAGCACAAATTATTCAGCGTTTCATGAATCTGTAATGGTGTAAGCGTGTTTAAGCACAGAACATCCTGTGCAGTAGAACTGTTTTCTATAAATGACAGTATGTGTTATTCTCAACTCCTTGATGCTGTAACACATAATAAATACTTTAAAAAATATATCACACCTGCTTCTCACAGCTTTTGCTTGTTTTATCTTGCCTAATGATTATAGATTCATGCAGAGTTACTGGAAATAATTTGTGGTCTTTGTATTACTCCGGTTTACAGCTTCTTTGAGAGATTTTACATTTTTAAAAATTTTTGCCAAAATCCAACCCTAGAAATTGCCTCGACATTTTGGGCCTAATGATACAGTTAAGAAATCATTTATATATGTACAAAAGAACAGAGACACCTCCCTTCTTACAATGGCATCTGAGACAAATAAGAATACAGATGGTTTATATAGTTTTTGGTGAGATGCAGATATTTATCCAGAGCCAGAAGGTGGCACATTGGTGGAAACAAAAGTAACTTCTTAATAGCAGGCAAATTGAAGTTGAGAAACCATAGTGCAATGCCTTTCCTCACTTCCCGTGTTCAGTTCCAGTCAATCAAGCTTGTATAATAATCCTGAATAATAAATTCAGTCCCTCAAAATTTTGTTTGGAAATGAACTGAAAGATGTTACATGATGAAAAACTTCTTTGATATGTACTATATTAAATCCACATTACATGGCCTGAAATTCCACGTAGTTTAATCTGTAAAACCAATTTTGTCTTAAAAATGTAACATACAGCAGAATTGGGGAAAATTCTCAAATACAATCTTAATTTGGAAACTGATTTGCTGCAATTCTTACAAAGAGACGATTACAAAATTAAGAGTGAATTTGAGAATATTCCATAATTTTGAAACAATCTGGTCTTACGCACTAAAACTTGGTAAAATTTCAACCTACAGTATGCACATTGAAAAGCAGCGCATGTACACACACATACATATTATGGGATGTACACTGCCTGAGGCACAAGACAAATGCGGGCTTTGCTAATACACTAGTTGCACATCTTGTCTTCAGACTCACTCCAGTTCATACACCTCTGCCCATTTTGCAGCTCCCATGTGATCTACATACAGGAGTTTACAATGTGATTCTTGTCTTATGATCTCGCAGCACCTGGTGACCCTGAATTCTTACCAGATACCTTGTATGTCTATATGTTTGTGTATTCGGTACTGTGTCTTAAGAGTTCAGAGTGCTCGTCAGTCTACAAGTTGAGGACCAAAGAAAGGAATAAAGACACTAGTATTGTTGATTGAACTTCATTGTAACTATGGGGCTATTAAAGTTAGTGTCACATATAATTACGTCCTATAATTGTGTTTTAACCATTTCTAGGTTTTCCTCCAGCCTTATGATTTACTGTTTTTTTAAAAAATTAGGCGACACAACAGTTTGAGAAAATTTTTTAAAAAATGAACAAATGAGCACCGACCTGACAAAATCTCTTGGTTGTACATCCTAGGAAAAACTATTGTACATGTCCTAAAACTACACGTGCAGAAAGAGATGTTGAGACCTTATGTCAGATCAATAAAAATCCATGAGAATAACTTCTGACCAGAGTGAGATTTGAAAATATACAGTAGCCAATGCAATGTTTTGCCAACATCACTTTTTAAAGCTTTCACTAAATAATCTAAAAAGTCAATGCCAGCCAAGTTCTAATAATACTTCCATCTGATGCAAGGATTATTCACAGTAAAACAACAACAACAAAATTGCATTTATAGAGCGCCTTTCACATTGGGAAGATGTAACATAAAAGGATGGTTAAAAAATTATTTTGTTGAACAGTAATGAAAAAGTGAATTCCTTCTATGGTATTACCTCCTTTAAAAGAATGTGACCTGGAATATTCCTTTTAAAATCAGATAAGATGTTTGTTGTTATACTGGATTTAATATTATCCTGTGAAACAAATTGATCTTAGTTTAATAATAATAATAATCCTTGCATTTGATATAGCGCTTTTCACGTCGGGAAATCACGTGGGGCATCACCTGTACTCCTTAACAAATGATAGGAGTTGTAAGAGTCTATTTATTTAACTGTTATAAATTGAAACATTTTGAGCTCATGTCTTTTGTCAATAGACTTCCTGCTCTGTTTTTTGTTTTTTTTACATGTGCTTCTAGTAACAGAAAGTAAGCTGATAAAAAAAGCAGGACAGAAGAATGCATTGTTATTCAGCAAACACAATGAATGCTGTTTTCATTTTTACATCAGTACAAGAGTTGCTTTCTTCCCTATTCTCTCCCATTTTCTTTTCCAAATTTTTTACCAGACTTAAACAGATCCATTTCAACCAAGAAAGAAGGGAGAGGCCAGATTTGATTTGACTCATGAATTTCAGTATCTGCTTTTCTTTGATTTAGGAAGGGAACTCCAACCCACAGAATTCACAACTTATAGGTATGACTACAATACGATTAGAAATCTTCACTGAAACCATGACGGCTCAAATACCTGGCATTACATTTAAGAGTTACAGGTTCATTCATTTGTAATCCAAGATGTATTCTTATAACTGTGCCAAAGTCCCTGCTCCATGTATTATAATTCAGACAGGCAAGTCTGGTGTTCAGGGTCACTATCTAATATACGTAATCTGTTTCTAATTGTCATGTACGTGTTGTTTCCATAACCAGTTGTGTGTAGGGCGTAAATATTACCAACATATGGTAATAGTACTTTCACAAAACACAAAACTGCTAATTTAATATGATGTTTGTACTGTTAACATTCAATTGTTGTGCTTTAACTGTGTTTAAGGCGTATACTCAAAGGCTGCCGGGGGCAATGGAAATCTACAGAGAAAGGGTTATTTTAATCAGCAGAACAAATTTAAAAAGAATCTCTAAATCTGCATCATCGATTCAAAATAACCACTAAACTAATATTTGAGCATTCATAACTTCCAATAATTGATTGACGAAAGATGACAAGATCGGAATAGACAAGTTTGGTTGACAGGATTATCCAGAGACTAGCGTGTTCAGCTCCCACAAGATCGCTCACTGGAACAAGTGTACATTTTGCGTGGCAACAGCTATTTTTAAATAAATTCATGTACAAAACTTTAACAAATATCGTTGTTGGTGTTTATTTTAACTCATAACTCAATATTGTTGCAGATCACCCATGACATTAAAAACAAAAGCCAGTCGAATGAATGATGCAGTAAAGCCAACACAAATAATTGGGTAATCATCTCTGCTTAATCTTTTCTCTGAACACTGCAAATAAATGTATTTTTGATTATGTTTCTCACTTGTTTGCAAGTGAGAGACCTGAGTTCAATTCCAGGCAGGGCGAAACCTTGGGCAAGTTTCCTTACTCCACACGCCTAATAATAATCCCTCCAAAAAAAAACCCAAAACAATAATTAAATTGGTCATTTTCAATCTACGACTGTTTGTGGGACATTGCTGTGCGCAATTGGCTGCCGCGTTCGCCCACAAATATACAGTCAATTCACTTTACAGTGTGTTCTGTGAAGCGCTTTGGGACGTCCTCCTGACGTGAAAAGCGCTATATCAAATGCAAGGATTATTATTATTATTATTATTATTGTTGGGGATGCACCATATTTTGATTCAAACTCATTTATTCAGCCTACTGAAAGCCAATCGTGGTCCCATTTGTACTCTGCATCATGTTCACTTTGAAAAAGGCCATTTCGCAAGTGCTCTTGTGACTGCAGCAAAAATATTTTAACAATATCTGCACAACCCAGTGAATTCCTACCCAGACCTGCCTATTTCTATTGCCCTTGTCATTGCAGTTATATAATTTTATAACCATTTTTGTGTCAAAAAGGCATTTGCACTTTATCAATATGCTAGGTTAGGAGTTATTACAAATAGTACTCTTTGTAAATACATTTCCTTCCCAAATAAATTGCAAAACATAAATAAAGATCAAATCCCCAGGAGGGTCTGCAGTAAATAACTATCAGCTGGATCTGGTTAGAAAAATAATCATGGCTTGATAGTATTTCTTCCAGGGAAAAGGGGACTTGCAAGTCATTTGTTAGAAAAATAAAAAAGCTGAACACTGCATAAAGGAACTAATATTATTTTGTATTCCGTCTCTTCAGTGTGACAGCATTGGAAAGTTTCCTGTTTCAATTTCAAGTTTTCTTTACTCAGAGGGTCATTTATGAATGAAACAGATTTCTAGGATGGGTGGTTCAGGCCAGGATTGCACTCATTTAAGAAGCAGCTTGATGCAGTGACGAGTGGACTGTAGGGTGGGTGTTCTGGATCAATCCAAGCCAATCTTGTGATCTATTGACATGGATCTGATGTTCCTTATAATGAATTTTAGTTCAAGTACGTTCAGTATGGTATGTTTCTAATGTATGTCCCCCTTTTTAAAGTTCTGTAATACTTATAAGCTCAAGCTTTGCAGAAATGCTTTAGAACCTGAGAAACATGGAAAATGAAAAAAGTCATTCAGTTCTTAAAGTCCAACATTTCCAGAGAACACATACAATCTACTCATCATATTATGAAGTGCCTAAGGACTATCTCCTGACATGAAAAGTGCTATTTCATGGAATCATAGAACTATACTGCACAGAGTGGAGTCCTGTAGCTCAGTGTTTCGAGCACTCGCCTTGCAAGCGAGAGACCTGGGTTCAATTCCCAGCAGGGTGAAACCTTGGACAAGTTTCCTTACTCCACACGCCTGATAATAATCCCTCAAGAAAAAAACAATAATAAAATTGGTCACTTTAATCCACAACTGTTTGTGGGACGCTGCTGTGCGCAATTGGCTGCCACGTTTCGCCCACAAATATACAATCAATTCACTTTACAGTATATTCTGTGAAGCGCTTTGAGACGTCTAGAAGACGTGAAAAGCGCTATATCAAATGCAAGGATTATTATTCGGCCCATCATGTCTGTGCTGGGTCTTTGAAAAGAGCTATCCAAATCAATCCCACTCCTCCGCTCTCTCCCTATAGCCTTCTAAGATTAATCTGGTTTATTTATTTTTCCTTCCTAATCCAAATTTACCGCTAAAATGTTCAAATGAGTTGGCTGCTCATTGTTGTATATGGGGCATTGTTGGTACAGATCAGCTATCCCATTGCCCATAGAGCAGCATTCACTTAAATTGTAATGTGTTATATTTTGTAAATTGCTTCAAGGTGTTTAATTTTGAATGAAAGGCGCTGTATAAATGCAAGTTATTTTTGATGCCCTCCACCATTGAGTGGCCAACAGACACAACCAAAGCTCACACAAGCACAATGGTCCACTTGAACAGGATGCCAGAGAGTAACCAACACCAGGGGAACCATCCCTAGCAAGAGGAGATCAGACTACGATCAGAAAGGTCTATGCCAGTGGGGAGAAGTAAGCGCAAAAGACACCCTATTTTATTTAAATCACTGCAGAATTGAGGAAAATTCTTCAATTCAGTTCTAATTTGAAAGCACTTTATTTAATAACAGCAGAAAAACTACATCCAAACTAAGACTGAATTTAGAATTTTGCATATAAATTGCTCTGGGAGTCTGCCCTGCCTGCGGGGCGCTATATAAATGCAAGTTGTTGTTACTTGCTGCTCAATCTTAAATTTTAAGACAAAATGGTATTCCAGCCTAAGTCTAGAATGTCAAACCAGTTATTATGTAGGCAAATGTAACTTTTCATGAGTAGAACATTATTTGCCTGTGACATTTATCTTTTTTTGTCCTACCGTTAAGGGAATAATAAAGGTTGTGTTTCAGAGGTTAACTGCAATCATTTTATTGTTCAACTCTTAGTCTGACAAGTTGAGATTTCCATTGATGGTGTTTTACAACAAAAGTTTGTTTCAAAGGTTGGAATGGATTTACTTTGGATTATATGCAAGTAGACAGGTGCATGAAAGAAAAAGGCTTGAAGGGGTATAAGGATAGGGTGGGAAAGTGAGATTGAATGAACAGCTTGCTATGAGAGCCAGAGCAGAAACGATGGGCTGAATGTTCTCTATATGCACTGTAAACTTCTAAGATTCTATGATACTGGTGTCTATTCTATGTCCTCCCGACGTGAAAAGCGCTATATCAAATGCAAGGATTATTATTATTATTATTATTATTATTATACTGAGCAGTGAGTTGCTGTGATTGCCAGTTTACCAAGCTGAGTAAAGCATTAAGCCAGTTGGTATTCATTGCACGCCATTTATAAAGGCACAGCCATGGCAGGTATTTTAGGCATTTATTTTAATTTCGCCTCTACACAAAAGTCCCAAGAAGGGACATTCATTTCTAGAATTCCTTTCTTTGCCTTATAGCAGACAGCGCCCATGTTTCAAATTTTGCAATGCTGCAGATTGAGTGTCTATAATGTACCCTGAGGGCTGTGGGTGATCATATAGCAAATTTTTTTTTGAAATCTTTGAATTCTTGAGGGTTAATTAAAGTAAAATAATAATAATAATTCTTGCATCTCATATAACGCCTTTCACATCGTGAGGATGACTCAAAGCGCTTCACGGGATTCACTGTGAAGTGTAGAGTCTGTATATTTGCAATCAGTAAATACTGTACTGTATGCTGCTTTATGTATCAGAATGAAAACTGAATACTGCACACATCAAATAGAATAGGACTGTATCAGATCCATTGTGAAACAGCAAACGGGCTGATGAATATGAAATTATATAGCATGAAGATAGTGCTGGGCAATATTTTTCTGCTTATTAAATTCTTACTGCTGCAAGTTGTGATGCATATATGGCACAGAATTATGGATCCGAACTGTCTCACATTTACAATAGGTAGAAACCACAGCAAAATACATTAATGGCAGCTGATAAGTAAACACACAGAGACCTTAATGCGCTTGTAGTAAGATTATAGGAAAACAGGAAAAGAAGGAGGTCAATATAGCCCATTAAGCCATCGCCTGCAACTTGTCACTTCTTATGACTGATTTTTTTTGCTTCAATATGGTATAAATCTAGATTTAGCCAAACAACATGCAATTAGTTCCCACTTGTCCCTGTAAGAATAATTATTGTGTGTCTATTTGTCAATAGATATGTTCAATTCACATTCATTTTAGACCTGTTTTGGTATCATTTTTTTTCTATATTGTCGCAGCCTTACTCTGTTTTTTTTATAAACATTTTAAAAATGTTGTGTGAATTCTGTGTTCCTGAAGGAGAGAAGTGTCATTAGTGTCGGGAATTAAACTCTTTCATTTCTCAGGCAACCTCCCATCCTCCATTCTCATCTCACCCACCTACCTCAACCCCCGTCTCCCCCACTCGTGTCCACTTCAACTCCACCAGGACAAAGTGCCCTCTGTTCTGCCCCAACCGTGTGTCTGAGCCCCAAGCCTCAGGAGAGGGAGTGCCTGGTACTGCAGAAATGTGACATTTTTTTTTATTTCTCACACCAGCCACCTTGTGGCCTCTGAACAGAATAGTGAAGTTAGGAACAGTTTTGTGCAATGGGATCCTGCTAGGAATGGTGGGATTGAGAACACCCTGACTCATTTCACCGACACTTACAAGTCAGCACTTGAGCTGATGGTAAAGACCATTGTACAATACATTCTTCTTTTCCCCCCTCCCATATATAGTTTGCCTAACCAGAGTTTCCTGCTACTCAGGATAAAGGAGCAACATTCTGGATCCCCAACCTTAGTGGTTCTCAAGCAGTGTGACCCATATGGTTACTTTCAACATTTTTCTCACGTTTAGGCATTTTAAACTTAGTACTTTTGACTAGAAAGATAGCCTTCACCCCCTCCCCCTTTTTAAAAGAAATCTAAACTGGACTCCTTCAAGCTCTTCATTTATTGCTTCATATCCAACCTATTCTTCTTCTCTAAAGTGGTGGAGTGTATCATTGCCTCTCAGCTTCGCTCCTTCCTCTCCCACCCCTCCCTCTGTTAGGCCTTGCAATCCACCACACGCCTGCCCTAATC